ATATGTTTTCACTTTCAAAAGTTCCTCGAATGAGCATGCATTTTTATACAGTTGAAAAATTAGTAAATGCACTAGTAACTTCGAATTCCTTAACGTTTCATTGTTAGTTACAGCCAGGGAAAAGGAAATGACAATTGCAAATTCCCTTTTTTTATTATTTATATGGTTTTACTATTTGAACTGATATCTGAGAAAATTCTAAACAATATGGCACAACAAAAAAACTCATCACAATTGGAGAAGTAACTAAGAATGTCCATTTCTTTTTTTTTTTTTTTTTTTTGAGAACAGAGTCTCGCTTTGTTGTCCAGGCTGAGTTGAGTCGCCGTGGGTCAGCCTAGCTCACAGCAACCCTCAAACTTCCTGGGCCGAGCAATCCCTTCGCCTGCAGCCTCCCAAGTAGCTGGGACTACAGGCATGTGCCACCGATGCCCGGCTAAATTTTTTTTTTTTTTATATATATATATCAGTTGGCCAATTAATTTCGTTCTATTTAGTAGAGACGGGGTTCGCTCTTGCTGCAGGCTGGTTTTTTGAAGCTCCTGACCGTTGAGCAATCCGCCGCCTCCGCCTCCCAGGAGCTAGGATTCACAGCGTGAGCCACCGCGCCCGGCTAAAATGTCATTCTTGACTGCTTTCTAAAGACACATCAAAGTATGATTCGTGAAATAGTTTCTCCTCTAGTGGAGAGAGTTGGAGCATGTTACATTTTTATACAAAGTATCCCCTCCCATTACTCCTTTAAGAGCATGAAAGTTATTCTCTTAAAGGAAATAAGAACCAAACAAGTAGAAAGGAAAAATGACTCAATATCCACTACTTAATAAAAACTAAATGATACATTCAGGTAATTTTGCCTTCTGACATCTGTTCTCCCCTCCCTCCCTTCTAAAACTGCAAGTTGATTTTTTCTGGAACATAGCTGTATATATTGCTACATAACTATTGATTCCGCTATATTCAACATTTTATCCTGCACAATTGGCCCTTGAACTACACAGAGCTTGACTGCAAGGGCCCATTGTATATGTGAATTTTTCAACCAAACGCAAGATCAAAAATAATAATACATTCACAGAATGGAGAAACCTTGCAATCTATGGAGGGCTGACTTTCATATAAGTCGGTTCCACAGGGCCAACTGTGGGACTTGAGTATGAGTGATTTTGGTATACCATGAGAATCCTGAAACCAACTCCCCATCGTATACTGAGGCATGACTGTGTATCAAATTTTATGTTCAACTTTTTTCCGTTTTAACATTGCATCTAATCATTTTTCAAATGATCAGAAGATTAAAAACTTTCACTTTTCAGTGGGTTACAAAAATGCCCACTAATACAGTTTATTGGGTTCACTTACCATCATTCCTTAGGCTAAACATTTGTTTCCAACTTTTCCTATTGATAAAGTTAAAGTAACCAGATAAAATACCACGTTTGGCTGAGCGGTGGCTCATGCCTATAATCCTAGGCACTCTGGAAGGCCGAGGGCACGGCAGATCGTTTGCGCTCAGGATGTTCCAGACCAGTCTGAGCAAGGAGCAAGACCCACATCTCTACCTAAGAAAAATGAAAAGAAATTAGCTGGACAACTAAAATATATATACGAAAAAATTAGCCCAGGCATGGTGGCACATGCTGCATCAAGCTACTTGGGAGGCTTAGGCAGTAGGCCGGCCTGAGCCCAGAGAGTTCGTAGGTTGCTGTGAGCCACGGCACTTTTAGCCGCTGGGCAACAGAGTGAGACACTGTCCAAAATAAATAACAACTTTATATATAAGGGGGTTTTCTTCGCTCTGTATTTAGAATAATTTTCCTCATAAGAAATTAATAAAAAAATAATTGTTTATGTTCTGTGATACCTATGTCCGAAATGACTTTTCTAAAAGATTTCTAAGATTTCTACTACTGATCAGTCAATGGAAGAGGTCCTATCATTTGGATATATCACCTCTACTATAACTGTCCGCTACACTTTCCACTTAAAAAGCACAGAATATTGAAGGAAAGGAGTGTTAATTTTTTATCACTCATTAGCTTTTGTAAAACCTGGGCAAAGTTCAATTGACTCTAGGCCGTCAAATTTGCCTCAGCTGCAAAATGAAGATAAATCACATATTACGAGCGAATCTTGTAGGAATAATGAATTTAACAACACAATAAAACTGAGAGAGTGTTGTTTAATTAGAAATATGTTCAATTAATGCAAATGAATGAATTTAATTCAATTTTAGTATGAGAATAGACTTATAATGAAGGTTAATAGTCTCCTCCCTTATACAACCAACTCCTATGAAGGCCAACCATTTTTTCTGTATCAGTGTTTACGTGTAAAATATAGATATACACTATTAAAAGTTTCATAGAAACAAATTTGTTTCCAGAGAATCATCCATGTAGCCACCACCAACATTCTGCAAAGTAGCAATACAAGCTATCATTCCCTGAATCCCCTATATCCCTCTCCCACACAAGCTCTTCTCCTCCTCCCAGAGTGAACACCATCCTCCATTTTCCCTGATCATTCTTTTTATATGTCATAATCTAACATATCTGTTTTAGTTTTGCCTACTTCTAACTTTAATTGTAAAAGGTCTACTGCATGCAGTCTTCTTGTATCTTAATTTCCTTTCATTCACCCTGTTCTCAAAATTCATCTGTTTGTGCCTATACTCCCTAATTCCATTCTATTTTATTGCTTAGTTTTCCACCTATAAAACACCCACAATTATTTTTTTTTCCACAATTTTAATTTTAACGGATATTGGCGTTATCTTCAGGTTGGGTGTTACAAATAGTGCAACATGAGCCTTCTGTTATCCAGTTTTTCTAATGCATCGTACCCTGGGCACTTGGTTGGCCACCCAGGTTTTTATTGCTATAACCTTCAATTGTATACATACTCAATGCTTCTAAGTGTAGTTATCTGACCACACTCCAGTATCAGTGGGTGAGAGATTCCTTTATGCTCCAGGTCTTTATCTATTAAATTAGACTTTATTTTGCCAATCTGATAGGAGTATAGTGGCATCCCATGGTTGGTTTTAATTTTCTCCCTGATTAACCTATACAATTGAAAACTCTCCCATTTATTGGCAAACTTGATTTTTCTTTTTTGGTGAGTGTTTAAGGTTTAGCCATTTTATTTTTAATCTTCCCTCTGTTTCTAATAACAATAGTCATTTGACTACTACATGACTGAATTTTAGACATTATTGAACTACGCTTTACTAAATACTAAATCAAAAGTTCAATTCACATACTTCCCTATTGACCCACTCCTCTCATACAGTTGTATTACCATTAGCATTTTCCATTGGTCATGTTCCTTTAACTTCCTAATGATATACAATACTTTAAAGATCAAATTGTTTTATGAATGTACCTTTCTCAGCACCCTGCTTTTATAAAATGACAACATACATGCTTTTGTTTTGGCTTCTCTTTCAGCTACTTGGTCCACTTTTCCAAAACTTAGCTTTTACATTGTCAAATTTAATATTATATTCATATTCAATGTGCAGAGTTAAGCTGTCTGTTTTTTGATAGATAATACTGAGTTCAAGAGAACAGGCAGAAAGCCTGAGCTCAAATCCCTGTTCCAACCTTACATTAGGTACAGTTTGGGCAAATTTCTTCCATGTCTTAACTTCCTTTTCTGAAAAATGAGAATGATATTAACACCCACCACATAAGGTTATTCTGAGGATTAAATGCATTAATATATGCAAAACAGGACAGTGCTTAACACATACTAAGTCCAACATAAGTTAGTTATTATTATTATATGTAAATTGATAATAAAAGCTAAAAATCAAGATAGTATTTCCATTGTTATAATCAGGTTCGTATTGCCTACTGCTAAGTTATACTGTGTCTCTGTGTACATACAGATTACACCATCTTTTACAGTTTCAGGGTCACAGTGCTTGAGTAGGGTGAACACATATCTCAAATTGCCCCGATTATTCCAGTTTGCACCCTTTGTCCTGATGTTTCACCTGTTCTAAACTCCTTTTTTTTTTTTTTTTTTTTTTTTGAGACCAGAGTCTCGCTTTGTTTGCCTAGGCTAGAGTGATGCCGTGGCGTCCAGCCTAACTCACAGCAACCTCCAAACTCCCTGGGCTCAGCAATCCTTCTGCCTCACCTCCCAAGTGGCTGGGACTACAGGCATGGGCCCCATGCCTGGCCTAATTTTTTCTATATATTATTGGGCCAATTAATTTCTTTTATTTATAGTAGACGACGGGGTCTCGCTCTTGCTCAGGCTGGTTTCGAACTCCTGGCACCTCAGCAATCCCGCCGCCTCGGCCTCCAGAGAGCTAGGATTACAGGCGTGAGCTGCACCGCGGCCTGGCATAACACCTCTTTATCCTACTAAAAAGTATTCTGGACCGGGTGGGTGGGCTCCGCCTGTAATCCTAGCACTCTGGGAGCCGAGGCAGGCGGACTGCTGGAGGTTCAGGAGTTAAAACCAGCCTGAGCGAGACCTGTCTCTACTAACAAACAGAAAAAAAAAGTAATTAACCAATTAAAATATATATACAAAAAATAGCCAGGCATGGTGGCACAGGCCTGTAGTACCAGCTACTGTGGGAGGCTGAGGCCAGCAGGATGCTTGAGCCCCAGGAGATGGGGTTGCCTGACTAGGCTGATTCCACGGCACTCCATTCCCTAAGCCTGGGCAACAAAGTGAACTCTGTCTCAAAAAAAAAAAAAAAAAAAAAAGTATTCTGCTTTGTTCAATGAATTAGATAGAAGTAGTTATCTACTACTGTGCCACTGAAAAGGGGGGAAAATTCAAGTGGATTCCTCCCCTTTTGTACACCAGTGGCAGCTCAAAAATCTGCCATAGTTTAATTGCTTTAATGTTGTACCCACAGAACTTCTTCCCTCTGGAGTTTTGATCCCTCCCTTTCCCTCTTTCCACCTCCTCTCCTCTTCTCCCCCCTTCTAACAGTATCTAATACCCAGTAATATCCCTCCAGGATTTTTAACTCTGAAAAGAATTCTCAATGCTGCCCAAAACACCTTCATCCTCCAGGATCATGCTTGTCAATGACTGTGCATGAAGGGCTTCAGACAAAGAGAAATTTATATTTCTTAACTGAGCATTTTCATGTTCCAGCTATAAAAGAAGATTGAAAACATTTGACATGATTTTTTCTCCTTAACTTCAAAAGAAAATAGTTTTTATGTAACAAAACTAAAACATTCAAAAACACAATTAATTTTTAATTAATCTAACTCTCTACCAGTAAAGTCAGTGACCATATCACATAACAATCAAAACCCAGAGACATTTGACAAAAAATTTCCTACATAACACTTAGGTAGTATATAAACATTATTTCATTAATGATCTTTCAAAAAGATCACATTTACAACTGGTTAAATACATACTGGATCATTCTATATTTAAAAATTAGCTATTTAAGGTTTCTCTTAAATTAGAAAATGAAATATAGAGTCTGATTTGAGCCAAGCATATTACACTTCTGCTAATTGTTAAGGATTAATTTTCACCAGCAAAATACTTAATGTACCCATTTAAAGGTCCTAAATCATACCCAATTTATTACCAGTAAAATTAACAATATTCTCCCCCTTGGCTACTTGCAAATATTTGCTCCCCTGCACACTCCTCCCCTTTATCATCTATTTATCTAATGCCACATATAAACCCAACTCTAGTATTTCTTGGAAAGGTCATTTTTTTCATGATGTACCATTTGCCTTATATAATCAGGTGCTCAGCATTTATCAAATGAGTAAATGTCTTCCAATCCAATATATACACTTTGAAAAATTCCTCCTTAAACTCACTTTGTAATGATAAATTATATTTATGTAGAACTTTCTAGCTTATGTCCTGCATTTATGCACATTAGCCTAATTTAATCCTCATGGTATAGATTATCTTTCATTGCGTTCTTAGAAGTTTTCCATTACTCTACAATTTAAATTATTCACTTTCCTACTTCACTGTCAGTAGATAGTCTCATCACCATATTTTATGTAACTAGATATACAGTATAAACCTAATGAATGCATTCTTGAATTGAAGCATCACGAATAGAAAATAAGCGCCAGTCAGATAAAAGAACAAAAAACAGCCAAAAACTACAATTTTTACATTTTTAAAAACATGCTTTTTGGAATACAGATCACATGATCACTAAATATAAGTAAATACAAAGGTTAACATAGTGCAACCAATTTGCAATATTTTCTCACTTTATTATTTTATAATAATATAAAGTGAGAAAACTGTATTTTCTCACTTTAAAGTTTATAAGGAATATGTGTGTGTATGGCTTAAAATCAACCCAAAAACCAATACTCTCAAAACATAACAAAACTTTTATTTACCTCACTGACTCGTTTATCAGCCTTAAGCCTTATCACTCTTTCCTCCTTTAACTGCTTCAGGCACTCTTCCAGTTTTTCCTAGTATGAAATAATAAAGTAAATATTATAACTAATTCACATATAGATCTCACCAAGTGAGATCTCGGGGTAGAGCCAGAAGTGAACTCGGATACTGGGATTATAGTCTACTACTTGCATAATACATCATACTACGATAGTGAAATTCATTATTAAAAACATACCAAACTAGCACATTATAGATTTATTTTATATCCCACTCTTTCCAAAATAGGTTTATGACAGCTCACCTTAAAAGGCATATACATGTAATTATTGAGCCAGAAATAAAAAATTAAGGCCATGAAAATAAAATTCTATTCTTATTTGTGCGTCCCTTATCATAAGAAGCCCTGGTAACATACTTAACACACCTGAATTATGTAATTGCAAGTTAAAATGCAGTTTTAAAAAAGCAAACACTTTTTAAAGCACTTTATTACGTCACAAGGCATTTGTAGGTATTAACTAATTTAATCATCAAAACTCTACAAGGAAAATATGATTATTAACTCTGTATTATTTTACAGATGAGGAAACTAAGGCAGAGAGAAGTAGAGTAGCACACCAAAATCATATCATTAGTTAAGTAGCAGAGCCAGCCTTTGAACTCAGGAAGCTGGGTGCCATTCCCAGTCATAGAGGTGGTAATCTTCCCATTCACCTAGGTCAGTAAAATAGAATGGGCAGAGTGGAGTGGTCTTCAGTAATAGCAGTATGAACAATGGAACCAGGAGAAATATCACAGACCTGGGAAGGAGAGAGGACAGAGGATCAGAAACATTGAGGGAGGAAACAGGAGCCAGAAAGAATTGTCACCAGCTTTCCCCAAACACTCATCATGATCAAGGAGCAGGATAGAGACATTATGTAGGGCCAGCCATGCCTTTTCCAAAGTCCCCAGGCTCCCTGGGCACCTTGCGGTGAAGGAGGATAATGATGAGTGGTTCCAGGGGCTACCTAAGCACACAGAAGCTATGAAGGAAAAACACAAAAGAGGCTGGGGCATCTGGCATCCTCTCACTGGACAACTGGAGCTCCAAAGTTTCCTTTCTCATTCTAGGAAAGGCTCTAAGACTCTGAGGTCCCAAGAGCAATTACAGTTCTAACCCTTCCTTAGGAGGTTAAGAATGCTAACCCACAATGGAATGTCAGGGTCTGTGTCTGTCTGGTTTATCACTTGATCTCGGCACTGGCAGACACTGCCTTGACCGTGGCCAGGGCTCAACAATTTACTTAATTCACAAATGGCCTGTTTTTCAAAGATCTTTAAAAATGAATTCTATTTCCAACCAGGATGAAGGTTTGGGACAACACACCTATCAAATTAGGATGGCTAAGCAAGGGAAGGAGAATGAAAATGTTCCTTTTTTCCCTTTTTTTGAAAGGGAAGTAAAACTGTTTTGAAATTCTTTACTGTAAAATCCAGGCAACTAGCCATAAGCAATCTTCCAGTTTTAGTAAAACCAGGAATGGACTAAGACTGGGCCATCACCCACTCCGACTAATTTGCTTGGGGAGCCAGAACCACCCCGCGCAACTTCTTCTCAAACTCTCCTGGGACCAGCAGATGCTTTTGCCCTGCTCCCAGCTCCTACCCAATGCTCAAGCACTAGCCATCAAAATGAAGGAACCAGGAACATAGGCCTTGCTTTCATCCACAATTTGAGACCTGTGTTAGATCAACTGCTGAAGGCACTGTCCCAGCAGATTAGTGGTGCCCATTAGCCCTGCTGGTCCCCACAATGCCCCTCAAAAAGCACCTAGGACCCTGGAGACCAGACTCATACGCTAAGCAAACAATGAAGCAGGACTGTGAACTTGGCTCCATGTCCTTTCTGGTTCTTAAAGCTGAGAATCACTTAATGGAGAATTTATTTATTCAATAAATACTTTTGATCATACATATGACCAAAACTGTGCTTAGGCACAGTGGCGGTTACAGAAGAATTAAAGCATGGTCTCTGTCCTTTGTCCAGGCCTAGGGCCAGGGCTGAGGCAAGGACAGGATGCCAACAATAGTAACATTCCTGTCCCCTTCCTCCCTCTGCTCCGAGAGAGAGCAGCAGTTCCACAGCCAACTGGCTAGTTTTTACATTCTGGGTTTGAGCAAAAGTCTTTTATCTCTGAATGTTTTCCCTCAAAATGGTCAAGGGGGATGTCTTGGAGTCAAGGATCATGATGGCTAGTTCACAGGAAAAAAAAAAAAAATAGAATAGAGGACAGAGGTAAACTCTCATATGATTTTCAAGAACTAAGACTCTAAGGTCCTTCAAAGCAAGGTACACTCCCTGTGGTAAGCAGAAGCCTAAAATGACACCCGAGATTCCCTTCTGCTGGGGCACGCCCCTCCTATTAATCAATCAAACACTAATCTAGGTGCTACTGTGAAGGAATTGTGAAGATATAACTAAGGCCCCTAAATCAAATGACCTTAAGATAGAGAGATTATCCGGGGAAGAAATGGCCTAATCAAACAGCTATAATAATTAAAAGGGACAGTGCTCTTCCAAAAAAGATTTTAAGTAAAAAGGAATTAGACATGAGGGAGATTCTGCGTTGCTGGCTTTGAAGAAGTAAAGCACAATGTTGTGGCAAAAAATGCAAGAAGGGAGCCTCTAGGAGCTGAGAGAGTCCCCCAACTGACAGCCAGCAAGAAAATGGGGACCTCAACCCTACAACTGTAGGAACTGAATTATGCCAACCTGAATAAGCTTGGGAGTAGATTCTTTCCCAGAGCCTCCAGACAATAATGCAGCCTTGCCGACACTTTGATTTTAGCTTTATGAGACTTTGAGCAGCCAGTTATGTCCTGCCCAGATTTCTGACCTACAGAACTGTGAGCTAAGAATGGGTATTGTTTTAACCCACTAAGTTTATAGTCTAGATGATTAATACACTACTCAACCTCCAGGTTCATGAACAAAATAAATCAATAAATCACTGTTACTGTTTTAAGCTACGGTTTGGAGGTAGTTTCTTATGTAGCAGTAAATAGAACACCTACAATTACTAAAACAGCAAGATATATTCATGTATTTTAAAGGCTTTTCAACACTCAAAGAGTTTCAACTCAAAGTTTAGTTTAACCCTGGTGTATTGAGGGGAGAAACTCTATAATATACAGACATCAGGAGATGCAATTGGTACTACTTTCTGGAGTAATCTTTAGTAAACATCACAAATTTTATGTCTGGGAATTTAGCCTAGGGAAATCATCAAAGATGTGGGCAAAAATTTATTTATCAACATAATGTCATAGGATTGTTTATAACTAAACCCTAGAAGTAAGCTAAAAGCCTCCAAATTGTGATTGCTTTAAATAAAAATTGCATATCCATATAATGGAATGCTCTATGAAGCCACTAAAAAATGGTGTCTCAGGAGTTGTATATTCAAATTTTTTCTGTATATTTTTCTTGAGAGATATTCCATAGCCTAATAAGATTCTCTGATGTGGAAAAGTATTCAATGACATGACAAAATATTTTTATACCTTTTTGAGATAAAAGGACAGGTTATAAAACATCCAGGTAAAAAACAAACAAATAAACAAAAAAACCATCCAGTTATGTATACATGCAGAGCAGGTTTTTACTTCCCTCAATATGTTTTTCACTTTCAAAAAGTTCCTCAATGGGCATGCATTTTTATACTGTTTGAAAAATTAGTAAATGCACTAGTAACTTCGAATTCCTTAACGTTTCATTGTTAGTTAAAGCCAACCAAGTTTTTACAAGGGAAAAGGAAAATGAAATTGCAAAATTCCTTTATTTATTATTTATATGGTTTTACTATTTGAAACTGATATCTGAGAAATTCTAAACAAATATGCAAACAAACAAAAAAACCTCATCACAATTGGAGAAAGTAGACTAAAATGTCATTCTTGACTGCTTCTAAAGAGCACATCAAAGTATGATTACGTGAAATAGTTTCTCCCTCTAGTGGAGAGAGTTGGAGCATGTTACATTTTTATACAAAAGTATCCCCTCCCCCATTACTCCTTTAAGAAGCATGAATTATTCCTTAAAGGAAATAAGGAACCAAACAAGTAGAAAGGAAAATGACTCAATATTCCACTACTTAAATAAAACTAATGATAACATTCTAGAGTAATTTTCCTTCCTGACATCTGTTCCCCCTCCTCCCTTCTATACACTGGCAAGTTGATTTTTTCTGGAACATAGCTGTATATATTGCTACATATATTGATTCTCTATATATCAAATTTTATCCTGCACAATTGGCCCTTGAACAACACAAGCTTGAACTGCAAGGGCCCATTTATATGTGAATTTTTTCAACCAAACGCAGATCAAAAATATAATATTCACAGAATGCAAAACCTGCATCTATGGAGGGCTGACTTTTCATATAAGTGGGTTCCACAGGGCCAACTGTGGGACTTGAGTATGAGTGGATTTTGGTATACATGAGAATCCTGAAACCAATCCCCCATGTATACTGAGGCATGACTGTGTATCAAATTTTATGTTCAACTTTTTTCCATTTAACATTGAATCAATCATTTTTCAAATGATCAGAGGATTAATAACTTTCACTTTTTCAGTGGGTTACAAAATATGCCACTAAACCAGTTTATTGGTTCACTTAATCATTCCTTTAAGGCTAAACATTTAGTTTCCAACTTTTCCATATTATAAAGTTAAGTAACCAGATAAAATAACCACTTTTGGCTGGAGGCGGTGGCTCATGCCTATAATCCTAGCACTCTGGAAGGCCGAGGCAGGCAGATCGTTTGAGCTCAGGATTGTTCCAGACCAGTCTGAGCAAGAGCAAGACCCCATCTCTACTAAAAAAAAATAGAAAGAAATTAGCTGGACAACTAAAAATATATATACAAAAAATTAGCCAGGCATGGTGGCACATGCCTGCAGTCAAGCTACTTGGGAGGCTTAGGCAGTAGGATGGCTTGAGGCCAGGAGTTTGAGGTTGCTGTGAGCCACGGCACTTTAGCCTGGGCAACAGAGTGAGACACTGTCTCAAAAATAAATAAC